ACTGCTGTAGGAGACGACTGGCAGCTTGCATGTGCACCATTTTGTTCACCTCTGTCAAAGTGCATGGTACCCACTGTGCATTCACCTTGTGATAGTGCAGGTGGTATTTCACGATGTCTTCTATACTACCAACACTGATGGACAGCATTGCTCCAAGTTCCTTGATAGTGATGCGCCTCTACTCATGAATAAGCGGGTCTGCACGATCAGTGTTTGGCTCGGTGATGGATGTTCGCGGCCAACGATCATGCAGTTCATTCTCCACACATTCTCTGCCCTCTCTGAAGCACTTACACCACTCAAACACACAGGTCCGTTAAATGATATGAACTCCGTCCCAAGTGCAAACAATATATTATATGTCCTTGATCTTGCTCTCCTTTACACTACATGTTTCGGCCTCAAACGGCCATCATCAGGTGTATACAGTCACGTTGCTGTTACACTGCACTTAGTTTAAAATTTAACATTTAAAAACACATTGTTCCTTTCATTGTTATTATCAACATCTACTTCGTTGATATCTGTCTGGTTTATAGATTATTTTTGTTACACACATTAGCACTTATAAAATCTTCAGTTCTAATTTTAAAATCCTTTAAAATTTAGAGAAAAATTTGAGTGGGAAGTTGAGTGAAATAAAAACATTCTTATCAGGCTGTTTGGGTTTATGTGAGTCTCTTCATGGAGACAATTATTGCATTAATTTATGCTTTTTAAATTTGCCCTTGAAAGCCTGCAGGGAGAGTGGAGGTAAAGCTTAACATATTCATAATCGCAGTTGTGGATGGAGGTCAGTGGTCAGCAGTCAGCTTCACACACCAGCCACTTTATCCCTGGGGAAAGAGCCCCCCCCAGTAACCATTGGATAATAGGTGGGTGGATCTCAGTGATGGTCTGGATATGGTGGCAAAGATAAAATTCCCTGCTTCTACCAGGAATCAAACTGTGATCATCCAGTCCATAGTCACTTTACTTACTAAACTATTTCTGCTCCTTATCCACGTCATCCAGACCAGCTCTGGGGTGCACCCAACCTCCTATCCAGTGGGTACCGGGAGTTCTTTCCCTGGGGGTAAAATGGTTGGGGTGTGAAGCTGACTGATCACCTCTGACTAGTGCTGAGGTCAACAATATGTGGATCTGTACATCCACTCCCCCATACGTCTTCATGGCTTAGTGCTTAATTAGTTAAGCACAGGGCAACTTTACCTTTACTTGCACTAATTTTATGTAGTATTGTTGGTAGTTATGTGGATTGTGGGGAATGTAAAAAGAAACCTAAATGCAGTGCTTATAATTTTACTGCATCTGGGGGGGGGGGATTACATGTACAACTTCAATTCATTGGTTAGTACACTAAGCCATAGTTTGTCAAACCTCATGCCAAAGGTTGCATTGTAAACTTTGAACAGCATTTGCAAGAAAACCCTTTGTGCTCAAGGTAGGATGAAGTCTTGAACACATACACCTATTAGTGTCAGAAATTACTATTTTGATTAAGACTTTGTTTGTGTTTACTGTATTTGCATGTATTGAGAATGGTATCCGTATGGTGCAGTGTGGAGGAACACTTGAACATCTTTGATGGAAAATGTTTGTTGTATATACTTTTGTGCTCTAAATATATTCCAATCATCTGTGTCTTTACTGTCAATCAGTTTTCATACATGACTGTACAGTTATATATGCATTGGTTCCCATTTTCATTATCATGTATGTATTGTACATTTTGGATCTGTAATTTAGTTTGCTGTTAATGAGATAATGCTTTGACTTAGTTTGCCGGAGTTTGACAGTGGTGGAGTATTAGTTGTTCATCTTTTTGCTAGTCCTCAGTTTTTGTGTTTTCCTAGTGTTTATGTGTGTTTCTGACTGTATATGTTATGCTCCAACCTATTGTATTCTAATTTTGATTTTTAGAACCATTTAGAGCAAATTTCTGTAGAAGTTTGATTTTCAGGTTGTATTGTATATGTGTAATGAAACTTTGAATACCTGTTATGTCCTAGATTTTGACTCTTACAGAGAGAAGAAATATTCTTTTGTATCCATCTGTTAACCATTGTTATGATCATTAATTTTGTTTTCCTCATCAGACCAAGACAAACCCTTTCATGAAATACACATTCAGAGGAGAACATAAAATGAATGTGTAAGATTCATATCATGTGTGTTGATTTCTGTGTGTGTCCACACATTTTATCTCAAGCCAGGTTTTAATGAATTTTGGTGCAGTAAGTTTAAGTTAAAAGTTCTTAAGTCAGCTTCATTTTGGTCCCACATCAATCCACTGTGCCTCTGTATAAAGATCAAATCATATCAATATAAAATTTCTCAAGTACTGCTTGTCTTACAGGAAGTATTACATGACATGAATAAATAAGTATATCAGTAAAATGTGTGGGTTTAATTTGAAGCAGTTCTTGATGTAGCATATGATTAGTGAAGAATAAGAAAAAAGATAATGTATTCCCTTTTTTCAGTACCATTTCTGATATGTGTATCCTTGGTTATGTCTGCTGGCAGTAGGTTTCTACCTAAAAATGTCAATATCAGTAAGAGATGTAACATCACAAAGAATTTATTTGAAAAGCATGCAAATACCAAAGTTTACTGTATATTTTCATTCTTGTATCATACATTGATTTCAGTTATGTGTGATCATAAATGCCTTAACAATATGCATATATCTGCCAGGGCCAAATGTATATTGCCAGTTTACGTTCAAAAGGGGGATGGCACCATGATGACATAGAGTCTGTCTTATCATAGTGTATTGTGACTGTACAGTAATGTTGAGTGTGTAAAATTCAGTTTGGAACTAATGTTCATGTTGATTAGCAGTTTGTGTATTCAGCAAAACCTATGGCATGTGGAATTCAGTAGTGCAGTGACTTGCCTTTTATGAATGCTGTCTGATAAGTTGTGGCAAATGAGAACCCACTGATTGGTCACTTAATGAAGGGAGCATGCACCATCGTGTTGGCAGGGCCAACGCCGTGGGATCGGTAGTTTGCTGGCAACAGTGGCAAGTGCAGCTCAGGCTCGCAGTCTGAAGCGGGTTGGCTCAGCAAACAATCTGGCCCCACCCACCATGGCTAACTCTAGTCACCTGTCTCGTAGCCTCCCTCCCTCCCCGCAGCATTCACCAGCAGGCAGTCGTAAGGTAATGATTGAAAGTGTGAAAACCCCTTACACCATTACAAAGACACTGCCTGGACTTACTGACTCACTTCCTACTTCGGGCTGTGATAATGTCATAGTCTGTCTTGATCTTTCAGTAATCAGTGTTGCATTGTGGTCTGTCTGTAGCCAGTCCATAACGCATTGCTTTTGTAAGCAGTGGTGGTGGTAAAAGACAAAGTAGTGGGAATAGCAAATAGCATGTATCACTAGTGTAATGTTACAAATATTTATTGTTATAAACTTGTTGATGTTGCTTCAATTCTTGGGTATTTACACCATGTTGCCGATGTTTTGGAGGTACATGTTGCCTCCATCTTCAGGGTTGATTTATGTAGGGTGGGTGACAGCATTGGGTGGGGTGCTGGTGTCCTGTCTCGGGCCACTAGGGACTATCTTATCTAATGTAAATTGAATGTTACTCTTATATGCCCTCAGGAGGAATTTAGAATGTCTGTGACTAATTTAAGCAAAATTATTCAAATATAAAGTGTTCCCCTTGATCTCTTGTGTTATATATTTGTACAGGGTCTGCCCAAATCATGGGGATTTTATATTATTGTATTTCATAAAGTATTCATGAAAAACCATTTATTTTTTCATCAGATTGAAGATTTAGGTTTAGAATTTTCGTGATAAACATGTGGACAGTCCAACACCATTCTCTTATTCTTGAGTGTGCCTTCATTGCAGCTCAAAGAATATTGGTACTATCAAGAAATTCTCTTTAATGTGACATCTTCTGAACATATCATCAATAGCTATTTTGTGTAGGTGGAACAGAAAGTGACACTCAGCACTCTTGTTTAGTTGTGACAGCTTAGAAACAAAGGCGACTTTCATTGCTCAGTATCAGTTTGGCCTATATCTTCCGTGACAATTTCCTGTAGTTTCCTTCAAAATGATTTATGAGTTCCAAATCTTTCTGCTGGATGCTCTATAGTGTTAATTACTGACAGTGTGATTAAATAAAGCATAAGTAAATAAAAATAAGGGTTTCTGTATGAATAACAGTGCAAGAATTTGTAGTATTATTCTAAGAAAACTGAGCAGTAACCTTTCTTGATTTCTGTGGGCACTGTTGGGGCCTGTGCTCTCATTGTTTCTTCTGTTCTCCCAGGCCATGCTTAGTGATTTATCACTTACTGTTTCATTTTCCAAGTATCTTAAATACACGTCTGGGACATGTTCAGACAAGAAACATGAACATTGGGATCTCAATGTCCTTTTGTAGGACCTGAAAGAACATGTGGAATTTGAGTGCCGATTGCCAAGAAGGATGTCCGGGACTCGACAAAACAGAGACCATGAAAAGTACTGGGAGCCCTTAACAGGACTAAAAACATGCAGAGGGGTATTTACAAGGGCCCTCTGCTAGAATAACTAAGGAACTAATAAAACTAAATAGAAACCATTTATGGTGGGTGATGGGGGGCACACAGCGTAGTTGGTTGAAACACTATGCTACAAGCCAGAAGGTCGTGGATTCGATTCCCAATGAGGTCATTGGATTTTTCAGTTGACCTAATCCTTTCAGCCGAACTATGGCCCTGGGATCACCTCAACCTCTAATTGAAATGAGTACCAGGAATCTTTCTGGGGGTAACGGGTGGCTGGCGCATTAGGCTAACAACCTCACCACCATCTGTGAGCCGATTGTCTAGAAAATGTGGGAGGCTTGACACCTTACAGCCCTATGGGCCTTCACTGTCTGTTACAGGGATAGCTTTACCTTACCTTACCTTACCTTACCTTACCTGTGGTGGGTGACAGGACTGCTTACAGGATACAGTGCCTGGAAAAGATGAATCAACCTATGTGATTGTGAGGATATAGCTTGCTTAAGATTTTGTCAGCTGGGACACTACGTCATGGAATCAGGCAGCTATCAAGACACCCCTTGAAGTAAGATACTATGCTCTGTTTGAAGTGTAGGATTGTTGAAGGGTTAAACAGAGGGCGATGCTCAATAGATCACAATGGTTGTGGTGCAAGAGCCAGTCAAGGCTATCCCCATATTCGCTCATTCATTTGACTTGAACATGATGTTCTCAATGACATGCCTTTTAAGCTGCAGTGATGACACACTTATTTCTGAAGAAAAGTTTGACAGTAAGAAGATGCTGGTTAGGATAAGCAGTAATGATCTTGACTTGTTTTCTGTGCCCCATTTGAGTCTTGGCTTGGACGCTGGTTATCCTGACACAGTTTGCATGATTTTTGTTGTTTGCTCCAAGCAAATGGTGGGATAGTACCTTTATTAAGCCATGACTGCTTCCTTTCAGATCCTTTCAGTTCATTTGTCATCCTGTTATTGGATGGCCTATATAGGCCACCTACTCACAACGTTGTAAAATAACACCCCCGAGAAAAGGAGGGTGTGAACGATATGAGAAAAGGATTGAACCTTCTCAGAATCATGTTTAGTAGATGTCATCATTATTAGCAGTGTTAGTAATGTAAAATGTCATAATTAATAGACTCAGATCTGAAGATGCATGATGTATTTAACCTTTGTCCACATCAAACTGATTGAACTTGTAAGGCTTGTCCTTGTAGGTCACCTGCAATGCAGGTTGGTTGGTAGATAAAGCATCTGATTTGTGTATATGTAAAGAGGTTGGACAGCCATGCAGAATGCTTTATTTTAAACATTGTTTGCTTTCTTTTTTTTTTCTTTTCTTTTTTTATAGAGGGAACATGTCTATCTCTTACGTTTTCATTTTTATGTTGCTTCTGCAGCTTGTCCTCAAGTCCACTTTCTTCCTAGACCTTCCTATAACCCTTCTGTCTTTTAATTTAAATCACATTAATTTTGTAGTCTTCTATTCTCAGAATGTGTCACTACACACTTTTCCCTGAATTGTTTCTTTTTATAATTGCTATTTGGTAATACACATGAAGGAAATGCAAAATGTATATAGAATTTTAGTTGTGAAAGCTGAAGAAAGAGACTTCTTTTGAGACCTAGATGTAGGCAGGAAGGGTATACTAAAATGTATCTTACGAGTAAATAGGTTATGTGAGTGTGGACTGAATTCATCTCCTGAAAAAATGGACCTGTGGTTGGTTCTTGCAAACAGTTGTGAACCTTTGGGTTACATAAAAGATGGAGAAGTTTCTTTAATCAGCTGGGCAACTCTTGCCTGTCAAGTTAACTATGATAATTCTTTTGTAGTGAAATAGCCTATCAGTTCTTTCATAACCTATATATTGGGTCGGCATTAGGAAATTGAAATATGTAACTCATTCTTGCAACAGGCTTTTATTCTTATGGAATAGTGCTTGAATTCCAAGTATCCTTATTTTGTAGCTTGTTTAAGTGTGTAGTATCCCTCTGTTATAGGCATCCCTAATTGGAAATCCATTCCAGTTTCCACACTCATTGCTAGACAGTGATGCCGGAGATGATGTGTCAGCAGCACTGGACCACTTGCTGCAGCATCCCAATGATGATGATCTCATGTCTATCGCAAAGACAACTGGCAAGGAACTGTACTCCAGTCTCTCACCCCCACAACGCAAAGACAAGATAAACAAAATGGTAAGCAAAAACAACTTTTTGCTCCCTGTTGTCAGTATTTGGGGAGGTGATTTCCATCAGCAATACTGTTCTACTTCACAGTCTGTTAAGTTACACATGTAACAGGGAGTACAGAGAAAATTGTATAGTGACGAGTTTCATAATTCACCAAATATTATTAGAGCAATTAATGGAAGAACCATCAAATGGGCTGGGTATGTAGTATGGATGAGTGATGAGAAGTGTATTGAAAAATTGATTGAATTGAAGAAGTTGATTGCAAAGTCTAAAGGGATCAAACCATTTGGAAGCTGTAGGCATAGGTGAAAGGATAATATTCAGATGAACATTAAAGAAGTGTGGTGTAAGGATGTGAAATGGATTAATTTGGCTCCATGTAGGATCCAGTGGCAGGCTTGTGTGATCATGGAAATGAACCTTTGGGTTCCATAAAGTTTGTGAGTTTCTTAAATTAGCTGAGCAACTGTTAATTTCTCGAGAAGGGTTCTCCTCCCTGGAAGTAGTCAGTTAACTGTGTACAGAACAGTATAATTACTCTCTTCATATGCACATTATAGTGAGTCTAACTTTAGAGCATGGGGTTCAGTCAGACTCACCAGGACAAGAATTATGCCAGACCCATGATTTGATGCATAGACAGGAATGTAAGCTTATGGAGCCAAGTACAATATTATTCTGTTTCCATATGTCAGGAATAAGCTAATTCATGATTAATCTGGGACTGTGGACTCTGATGCATGTTGCAAGATCTGAAGTTGACAATCACATGTGAATTGTTTGGGTCATTAAAATTTTTTCATTGGCAGCACTTAATTGAGTTAGAATCACACATGAAAGCATTAAGCATTTAGTGATGGAATTAAATGACAAAGGATTAAGTGTGAGAGACCAAGCATACATTTGCCAGTAATTTCAAATGGTCTTCAGTATATTGGTATTAAATTTGGATTGAAAGGACTATCAGTAAGACTTATATTGGTATATAATATATTGTAGTTGTTAAAAGCTATTATATATAAGGACCATTTTGGTCATCTTCAGATAGTGCATGACGTGGAAAACCTTATTACTGATTTGTCATATTTCCTTGTAGGTCACTATACTGAGGTTGATCCATGTCATTTTCATTTACTATGTATCATACAGGTGCCGAGGTTAAGAAAATGTGGGTCTATATGTCCAGTCCCCCATACACCTTCATGGCATAGTGGTTAATTAGTCAAGCACAGGGACAACTTTACCTTTAACGTACAGTAATGAATTATACAGTCAACTCTTGATTATCCGGGATAATGGTGGGGATGGAAATCACGATTAATCGAAAACCCGGTTAAGACAAATTTTATTAAAAGTAGTACTGTAATACTGTACCTTCATAATATTATAGGCCTACCTGTATTTAAATTTATTCAACCTCATTTTTATGTCATCTCATGGCCTATTTAATACTTTTTTTACATTCCACTGAAGTATGAATTAGTTATTTCAATCACAGTCTTCAACAACATCCAACACTTTTTACGAATATTCACACTTAACACTTAAAAAAATTTAGTATTGTCGTTTACTTTTTCGCGGCATTTTCCTTTTTCTGTTGAATACTTAACACAACACGCTTCCTTTTACGCCGTGACATTTTGCTAACACATTTGAAGATCGATACAAAGAAACTAACTGGGGTGATGTATCTGGCCTTGAAACTTTCCACAAATCCTTGCATTCTTTCACCCCTACCCTAGAACATTGTGTTAGCATAACGGGACAAAAGAATGCAGAGCTCGGTTCACACTAGTGCAAAAATAGTGTTGCAACTCACCATGTGAAACAAAAGTGAATGAATATTAAACAACATATAAGCCTCAAAAAAGCCTCAGTAGTCCCGGTTAAGCCGCAAACCGGTTAATCTGCCCCCGGATAATCGAGAGTTGACTGTACTTGCGAGAAATGCTAAGATTAATTTTAACTTTATTACATACTGATGTTCTGGGAGGGTTTTGTCATTGTGAACTGGCAATGTTTAACTAAATGAATCAATGTGTTGCATATAGACCGAAGAATGTAAAATGTTGAACAGTACAACATTAAAGAGAGCTGGGATAGTTCAGTCAGTATAGTGCTGGGCTACAGGCTGGACAGCCAGTGAACTGGAGTTTGAGTCCAGGAAGGAACAAGAGAGTTTCTCTTGTGCGCAGCATCCAGAGTGTTTCTGGAGTCTTGTTAGCCCCCTTTCCAGTGGGTACTGGGGGGGGGGGATATAGTAAGCAGGTCTGGAATCTGATATCTTACTTCCATCTAGCTCCAAAGCTTAGAATATGTGGCACTCTACCGCCACCCCACCATGTATCTTCATGGTATTTTTTTTTTCTGTGGCGCTACAGCCCCAATTTGGGCCTAGGCCTACCTCAATGAAACTCTCCGTTTCACTTCGGTTTACTAGATCTTACACATTCGGTAGGACTCCTTGGGCGAGTGATCAGCTCGTCGCAAGGCCTCTACCTGTAGACAAACACAGAAAAACGCACAAACATCCATGCCCTGAGTGGGATTTGAACCCACGATCCCGGCTTCCGAGCGAGCGAAGACAGTGCATGCCTTAGACCGCTTGGCTACCGTGACCGGCTATCTTCATGGTATGGTGCCTCATTAATTAGGCACAGGGACAGCTTGCAAGTTTAAACTGTAATTCAATGTGGGTTTTTACATAGGTAAATGAGGGGTTTTGTTTGAACTTGGTTGTGGATATGTCATCATCTGAATTAATATTAGGTACCTATTGTAATTAGAACACAGGTAGAATAAATAGTGGTAAAAATTATATCATTGTATAAATATGTCATGATTCTGCATAAAATTGTCAGTGGAAGATAATAGTTAATGCTAGATGGGCATATGACCTGGGACCGCATATAGTTTCAGAGGGTTTTACAGTTTTGTTATAGAACTCCCAACTGCCTGCTTCTTCCCTTCTTCCCAGTGTTGTTATAGTGTTGTGTGTTAAACAGATTAGCAAGTTAAAATCAGCAATAGATGAAGAGACGCAGCTGCGCATGGAATTGGCCCAGAAAGAACAGGAAACCAGGGACCCGTCAGAACATACAAGAATAGCGTTTCTTATTGGCAAATCAGATGAGAAGGTCCAGGCATTGGCTGTGCTCATGCTTCACTTCTGTGCTGGCCTTCAGCATACACAGGATCAGGAAGAATCATCAAAGGTAATGTTCAAGCTTGAAGCTATACAGTAGCTTTGCTTTGGTCACTATTGTACTAAACAGTAAGGATACAATTTGATGTATTGGTAGAGTATTATATTGTGACATGGTACATAAAAGACAGAATAATGGAGCAGCAAAAGTAGAACCATGGGAAGCAGTGTTTTCTGTGTGGTCTGTGCGAAGGCTGTGTATTGACCATAAGTGAGTCAGTCAGTAGTCTGTGGTTAGCAGTTTATTGTAAGTCATCAGTTGTAGTTGGTGGTTGGCTGCTAGCGCAGATGCAGAGAAATCTCCATTGTTAGAAACTGTCATCGGGCAGTGACCGGTGAAGACAGAACAAACTGAGAAGGCTTAATGTATGCTGTAGTGATTTGTAGAATGTGGAGGTTAGTGAGAGCATTATGAGTCCCGAGTATTCAGTAGATCCAGTTAGTCTAAAACCCATGTCTAGTCACGAACACGTGACAGTGTGTAATATGATGTTGATAATAAGGGGAGAAAGTGGAAATAATTTGCCTTTGGAGAGCGTAGGTTTCTATCAAGACGATAAATTTCTCCTTTATTCATGACGCCAATAAGAAAGAAAGAAATTTTAGTAAACTATACTTAACTATGGCTTCTGAAAGTATGAGTATAACTGCCTTTTCAGAATCAAGGAGGGTGAGATGGGCAAAGTATGTAGTGCGTGGGGGGAAAATGGGTAACACATACAACATTTCGGTCAGGAAGTCTTAGGGAAGAGGCTATGTTGTAGGCCTAGGCAGAGATTGGAAGGTGATGTCAAAGTTGACCTTTGAGAAACTGACTCTGAAGTTGGGGATTGAAATACACTGGCTCAGGGTAGGATCCAGTGATCCTAGTCTGAACTGAAAAGTAATACCTGGATTTTTTAAAAGCAGAATATTTCTTGATCAGCTTAGCAGCCATCAGCTGTCCAAGGAAACTCCTACACCTTGAAATTAAGCAGCCCCAAGTTCACCATGTCCTGCCAGAGGACAGTGTCTCCTGCTTAACTCATCCTCCTTGAGCTATTCACTGATAATACTAGTGATAAGTACAAACTACAAAGCTCCTTACTTTGTAATTTTCTCCATGTTTGTTTTAGTGCCTCTTTATTGTGTCTGCTGCATTTTTCCTTGAAACACCAATAGCATTTTTCCCCACAAGTTGGTTTTGTGTGTTATGCATGTGTGTAGAATGCTGGTTTTTGTAGTAAGCTGTATGCCTTATTTTTTCACAGAGAGAAATTGACTCGGGATCAGGGGATGACATATCTGTAGAATGAAGTCAGTGATTTGGATCTGTCTGCAGGCAGTTAAGGTAGAGCACAATGGCAAGAAACAAACAGTGTTTGATTAATTTACTTTGTCTTGTAGCATAAAACTCTTGAGCAGTAAGATATGGGCTGTGGTAATGTTTTCTGTTAGTGGTCCACAGACTGGTAGTGACCCACAGCTTAATTTAAGTTAGTCTCAAAATTCTGGTTGATTTTGTGTATATTCAGTCACAATTGGAAGAAAATTGCTGTTTTATTACTAGCAGTCTGCTAGTAGTCATGCACTGTATCAGAGAGTCCAGTAAATACGATTACCAATGGAAGACTCATCTGTAGGTACACTCCTTAAAATTGTGACAATATTTAAAATCAGTGGCTGTACCCATATACCATATATAAAAGAATTACATGAAATATAATAATAACTTCTGCATATTTTCCAGATGGTATTCCTGTGCAGAAACTGCCTCACTTTCTTGGTTGGTTCAGTGGGTAATGCTTAACAGGTTAATTGGTCCATTGAGAGGGTAGTGGTTGATAGGTTTGTAACCAGAAATACCTGGATTTAATTATCTTTCAAATTCAAGTTCACCATAACAACAAACAGCACATTGTAAACAAAGAAAAGCAGCTCTAAATATTTTTCGTAGCGAACTTATTCTATATGTCTGCATAGAGATAATTGATTACTTACTAGCTGTGGGACTTTTTTTCTTATGCTTTGTGTGTGTTTACATAACAAGTTTGTTCTCCCCTGAATTTCATACTGCAAAGAAGAGAAGGTTCTTAAAAGAATGTTATTTTAAAAATGTAATTCTGTTAGGCGAGTTTGATATTATTTATTTAAACCCATCAAATCTTGTTGCCTTTCTTGGAATATGTTATCCATTCAATGCTCCTCCCAAGTGGTTGCTGAAGCGTGAAACATGAATTCTTGGTTTTGCAGAATGCGGTATTCTTGCCAGTATTATTTTTTTTCACAACGGTTACTTATAAAGAGACAAAATAGGAATGGCTGCAATGCAAAAAAAATGTTTCTGGTTATAATAGTGTATATATGGATGACATGTGCATACAGTATTGTACCTAAGAGTAGGTACTGAAGTAAATGGTGCGTACTCAATCTAACACAATGCAGACCACATTTAGTGCAATTGTGCACTCAGGTTAGCAGTAAGAGGGTTAATAACTTGCTATAAGAATAGGTACTGGAGCTTGATTAGCAGAACCTGTGGAAAGCATGGTATCAAACGCATGTAGGTATGTGCATACACCAAATTTACTTGGAAGTTTTATCTTCATTTATGCTCCTCTTTCTAATTTTTGAGAAAGAATGAAATTGTTCTTTTCCTGTATAATGTCTGTAAATTATAAAAGTTTTTTGTTGTGTAGATGAAGTAATTTGTCTCGTATTTGCTGAAACAAGTAAAAGTAAGTAAAGCTATCCCTGTTACAGGCCATGAAGGCCCATAGGGTTGTGAGACGTTGAGGGTCCCACATTATCTAGACAATCAGCTCAAAGATGGCGGTGAGGTTGTCAGCCTTACGTGCCGGCTGCGCTTTACTTCCCAGGAAAATTATTTATTTAATTCCTGGTACTCATTCCTGTTAGAGGCTGAGTGAACCCCAGGGCCATAGTGCGGCCGGAAGGATTAGGTCAATTAAAAAAAAAAATGCAGTCACCTCATCGGGACTTGAACCTGCGACCTTCCAGCTTGTAGTATAGTGCCTCAATGGCTACGCTACTGTGTACCCTCTAAATAACTAAAACCTACATAATACTGTTACAGTGCATATAAGGCAACCTTAGGTGTGTGCAGTAAACACATCGACTTGTTATCTCCTTTTGTGATCCCTCTGGATAGGTTAGTATGCCAAATCATATTTGGTAATGGAAAGTTGATACACGTTGTGTAATGAAAACATAGGAATCTCAGAAGTATCGAACAAGGCACACCGTTAGACAGTATGTATCATGAATCTCCATATTAACTAATTTTCGTGCCTTTCATTTTCAACCCTACAAGCATGTAATTTTAAATGATCTTTATATGAGATAGTTGGCCAGTTTAGTTGCAGTTCAGGAATCGCTCACTTCAAGTCTTCCACTAAGAATTAAATATTTTAATGTTATATTTTTTAAGGACATCTTCAAACCTAATATGGAATATTAAGAACTGGCATGTTGTTAATAAAAGAAAAGTAAAGCTATCCCTGTAACAGGCCATGAAGGCCCATAGGGTTGTGAGACGTTGAGGGTCCCACCTTATCTAGACAGTCAACTCAAAGATGGCAGTAAGGTTGTTAGCGTTACGTGCTGGCTGCACTTTACTCCACAAGGAAAATTATTTAATTAATTCCTGGTATTCATTTCTGTTAGAGACTGAGTCGACCCCAGGGCCATAGTGCAGCTGGAAGGATTAGGTCAAGTGAAAAAATCCAGTGACCTCATCAGGACTTGAACCTGTGACCTTCCGGCTTGTAGCATAGCCCCTCAACCAACTATGCTACTGCATGCCCTGTTAGTTGTTAATACTGGCAGCAAATTAATAAAAGAATTCCAGTGAAGGAGTAATCATGACAAATTTTTAAAAGTACTATTCTGCTTATTACTTAGGCAGATTTCTAAAATAAAAAAAAAATCAATTTACACAACTGATGCTCTGCTTTAAATGGGGACCAGGCATCTGCTAAATTTAATTCAGGTGCATTAAAATGAATCTGAACTTGTTCAGTGGAGATTTAATGTTTTACATGATTTTTTTTTAGGAACTTTTGTCAAACTCACTTGATTCACTGAACCAAAGTAGCAGAATTCTATATTATTTATTGCATTCTGATTATTGCAAATCTTGTTTTAAGTATTAATTTGTGTATGTTTATTTTTTGTTAAAATTATTGTTTCATGTTTGTTATTTATTTAGTATGTATTTATCTGTTAAATAATTAAACAGTTTATGTTTTTATTTATTTATTTTATTGATTATCTGTATTGTTAATTTGCTAGTTAGTACTTTTAACCTTTCATAAAAAAATTTGAACAAATTGTATAAAACAGGTGATGTCAGATACATTCCAGCAAAATAATTACAGTATTTAAAAAAAGAATTGAACATGTATATATGAAAGAAAATTGCATGAATCCGTCTTATGAAGAGGTCAAGTCTGTCACAGATCTAGTTTTGGGGAACAGATTTTGTTTAAATTTCATGCTGAGAACTCTAATTAAATCTATAAATATAACATTATACTTTCCATTGTACTCAGCCTAAATAAACATTAATGTTTATTCAGAATTACTGGGTTTTTGCGGTTTAGAGTCTGTTAATGTTTATGTTATTGGGGACTCAACAAAGGTTGTAGAAGTTCACATGGAGTTAACAGTTTAAAGAAATGTATAAAATGTGCTGATTGTTGAGATGGACATTTGCATTACTCTGAATCACAATCTGTGATACAGTAACATGATTAAGATTTTAATATTGGGGCTCCAAATGTGATCAGACCCCACACAACATTAGGAAACAAACTGTGAAAACTTTTACATGTGATCTGCTCATGTTTGGACTCCAGAGAGATTTTATGGTAGGAGAGGGAGTATTAATGAAATTGAGAGTCTTATCACATTTTTATCTGTGATCATTATAATCACTATTGCCAGCATTATCAAATATTCAGATAGTTGGACCATTTGTTGCAAGTGGGGTTCTAAAAAAGAATGGATGTCAGCGCAGACTTACTTGATGATTTGCAGAAATCTGCCAGTTTGTTCCAAATGTATAATGTGTCATCTTGTGAGATCATTTTTTGCTTTTGGGAATGAACCAGAAAGAGTGAGATTCGTCATTGTTGATTAAATTGATCTCACTTGTCTGACCTATTGAATTACTTCATGTGACTTTTACTTGGAAATAGAGGCAAAAGTCATGTCACCCGTCATCTTAAGTAGGTTTAATATCTGTACAATTGAAACTTGATAACAAGAACAACATTTCAGGTTTCTGTGTCAGTGAATCTTCATATTGTGTTCTTCTGAATTATGACAAACACTGTAATGTGACAGTGAATACGAGTATTTCAGAGGAACATACTCCCTTCATCTGCAGGGAATAAGATGAAGACACTATATTTGCCTGAAACATTGGTACCTACATACCATGCTACACCGCATCATAATCCAGAGGAATACAACATGAATATGTGATCAACAGGGCCTGGATTTTGATGACCTGAAAATATTTAAAAAATGACTGAAAAAATCCAGAAAAATGACCTAAAATATGACCCAGAAATTTAATATGCAGGGCCTGGATTTTGATGACCTGAAAATATTAAAAAATGACCTATAAAATGACTGAAAAAATCCAGAAAAATGACCTAAAGGAGAAAAAAAGAACACTTCACTTCCATGTTATTCACAGCTCAGAAAACATGAAGAAAAATTCCCTAAAATGGCGAAAAATGACAAGAAATACCCTTAAAAGTCCAAAAATTTACCACAAAATTACTCCAAAAATGAAAAAATGACCTTAAACCTAAAAATGCAAAAAAAAATGACAAAAAATTACCTATAAAATTTACATTTCTGTAACCAGCAGCTCATATCCAAGATTTATATATTTGCATAGGATACAAGGAAAAAAAAGATGACATGTCATCAAAATCCGGGCCCTGGTGATCAGTAACTGTGAAGCGTATAGTATGACATTGTGTAGTTTGACAGGTTCCAGCATTTTGGAGGGATATGCTGCCTGAATCTTCAGAGTAGAATAATAAGTTGCATGGAGGAAAATGTTCAGTTTATTATAAGAAGGGGAGAACAAGGTCTGGAAATAAGAGTGAACCAGTGGGAGTGGTATAAAATGAATGGGCTCATGGGAACTGAAAAGGGCTCCACTCATAGATAGGAAGAGGCTAAGAATGACAGTGGTTTGTTCTTAGGCGCTCCTTATCTAGAAGGTCAGGCCTTTTCAGTGCCACAAGATTGCGTTCATCTTATACTGCCCCCGTCTGTTCACTCCTATTCTGGGTTCCTGTCCTCCATTCCATATATCATTGACTTGTTTTTTCCTTTGCGGCTTACAGATTTTCTGTGAAGATGGAAGAAATTGGTTGTCTGAAACTTTGGTACCTAGCCATTAAACCACATCCAAGAAGACAGTAAACTTCACAATATGAACAATTACATTTGGTCCACACTAAATCTAATTCATCATCATCAGTTTATCCACCATGTGATTATAAATAAGTTAATAACTGTTTTTGTAGTAACCTTTCCTTTACCAAGTTATGGCAACGATAAATTGGCTAATATAGATATTTGCATTTATTTCATAATCATAGAACCTGAAGAATAAGCAACAGCAAATTAGTTTCATAAATGATGGATGTCCAGAAACCAAGGAATCATAGCAAAGTTAGATAATATTTATGTACATTTGTACTCAAGTGTTGGTCCTGGAATGTTGGTTAGTTGTCCTAGGCCTTTTATGTGTCAGATTTTGTACTTGAAATTTCAGGTAATCAGATTGCCCTTATATTGTATTTTATTTTTTTTAATGATGCTTTATCAGTTTAAGAGGTTATGTGGCACCAGTGGTTTTTAGTATAATGGATGTCTCAAGATTAGCTGGTAGAAGTTTATTTTAAATTGCATTTATTGAAAGGCATATGTGGTGGCAATGCAAATGGATATACAGTAAGTGACAGAGAGATGTGTGTGAAGGTTCATTTATGGAAACTGAATATTAATATTTCATATATTGAGTGCATTTTCTAAGAAAATAAGATTTGAGTGTGCTCTTTTCACCAAAGAGTTACACCGAAATATTTTGTCACTACTCTTCTTGTTCACAGAAGTTGTGTTTTATTCTGTTTGACTGATTTTTATAAAGTGATGTTATGCTGTAGACGATATACAGTTGCTAGTGGAAAAAGGCCATTTCTGCTGTTACTGGGTTTGCTTGAATTAGAACACCGAACATGTTCTATAAGATGTCGGAAACAAACAAATCTGGTTCCTAGATTGATTAGTTTGCTCAAAGGTGTTTGTTTCATTCCAGTATTTTGTATACCTAAAACAAGATGGATTTGTGTTCTCTTCTATAATTTGGTCTGTGTGGCATGCATTGCATATAGCCCCCTCAGTAATTGCTTTAGTGTTAAATTTCAGAGATCCTTATATCTTGCATATTATATCTCACCAGGTTCAATACATTTTGCTTCAATTTCAAAACTGTTGTACTCCTGGACTGGGAAGTGTTTCTGTGAATATTGAACTGAATTTAACAATGTTCCAATTTTGAGGTCTGTTTATTTGAGGATATGATAGACTCTAGGTCCATGTTCAGTATATTTTTTCTGAATTTAAAATTGTCAGATTCAGTTTGACATCACTGTTTCACAGATGTCATGTTTTAGTCCTGAGGGCTTGAAAGGCTTAAATAAGACTGTTATATTTATGGTCTTTCATTCTGGTCCGTCACACTAACCAATTAACAATCAAGTTCCTTCCTTCAAATGTGACACTTTCCTCATAACCTCTTAAACTGATAAAGCATCATTAAGTGTCACATTTGACGGAAGGAACTTGATTGTTAAGACTGTTATGTTCAAAGCTACATATTTACCATTGTTGACTATATACTTGTTTTTTATTCAATTTTTATATATCCTTGATTTAAAAAAAAAGATATGTTATAATTCAAAGTTATGTGTAATAGCTTGAGTCTGAAACAGAAATGTTGCAGATTTTATAATTTGTATTTTCTTTACAGCATTCAGCTAAAGAGAAGCAACTGAAGGTGATGGATAGGTATTCATATTCTGAATACAATGTTAATTTAGAATATATTTTATAGCAGTGTTTGTTCCATAAGCACTGCTTGTCTTATGCTGGTTAGGCAGAGTGCCTTAGGTGTTAGTGATAAGTAAGATTTTTTTCAGTGTCTATGCTTAGGCTACAAGTTTAATGCTAAATCCAGCTTTCTCTGCTACTGACTTTAAACAATTTTTTTTTCATCTATAAGAACATAGTTTACTACATTTCTTACTTCTGTAATTAACATAATTGCGCTTTCAAATTTAATTTTACACTACTGACTGGCCTGTAACGTATAGTTTTAAAGATACAGACAGTGAATTCCTGTAAGATATTTGTAATGGGGTGTGGCAGAATGTAATTTTGTTAATAGGTACAAAGGTTGAAGTTCCCTGTTACGCTTCAATTTTGTGCATTGAAGAATGTGTACAGGTTAATACCCAGTTTAGCCAATAATTTCCACATTGTTTCTTAAAAAGAATAGCATTTTTAAGTACTGTGATAATATGAATAATACTTAATTTATTCTGACATGGAATTGAATGAGATTGGTGTGGTGTTTGCCTGAAGCAAAGTATGTGGCAATTACAGATACTTTTCTACATTGAAGAGTGATTGTATAGTTAATCATTCCTGAATTAAATGTAACCTCAGGTTATGTAGTCTTTATCTCTGATGGATGTGAATTTTCTAGAAAATATTGGTTAAACAGTGGTATGTCAGAAAGAAATATAATTTATATATATCTTTTTTTATTGTCTTGAATCATGTAATGAACACAAAGACTGATGAATGACCATCACAGCCTGATATGGGAGACAGACACCAGCATATCCAAGAACACCATTTTGTAGGATGATGTAGGCTCAGTGTTGTCAGAGCAGCAGTAGACAGTGTGTGTGTGTCTTCAGTTGTGAAGTCAGTTGTTACATTTTAAGCCATTCATTGTCAGGCATTTAAATGTGATTCTTTGTTCCCAAAGGCCATGACTAAGTAGACTAACAAATATTTCTATCACATGTATATCAGGAATTAATGCATATTTTGTTTCTTCAAAGCTTGTACTATTGTGTGATTAATTGAATAGACATTTGTGTGAGTGAATTCTAGGTAGTTTTGCAGGTAGTAAGACGTGAGCACTGAAAGAGCATGTTCATTTGAGAAGCACTGACCACTGTTAGCAGTGAGCATGCTAATTTGGCACTGTAATGTGGTTACATATTCTTTACAACTTATCAAAATGTGTAGCCGATAAATTTTACAGTGCGGTATTGTAGTTCAGTGTTTTTGACTGTCTTTGTGTCATTATGATACAAGAATATTTTAGTATAGAAGAACTATGTATCTTGTATATGTGTTAAGTGGATCGAAGACTGAGGGAGTTGTTTCGAACACCAATACGTTATGCTTGTAAAGGTGGTTCACTATTTGCATGTGTCATAGAACAGTCTCATGGGTGCTCTTGATGGGAAGCAGGTAAGCCAGCACCTGCTTCTTATTGAAGTGCTCTAAAGCTCCAGACTCCAAATGAGTTCACTTCTTTATTTTAGAAAGGATAATATTTACCACTGATAGAAGTGATGAAAAACAGACACTTCTTTGAATCTTCCACTATCCAGTTTTGGTAAAAGAAAGTTTGTTAATGAATAGCTTACAAATAATAGTTTATACCATTATACATTTAAATGTAGACCTTATGTGGGAAATAGTGTAGCTATAATTGATTCTGCAAATATTTATGTAGAATTCTTAACCTTTTTTGTAAATGTTTAAGGATATTATTCTTTAATTTGCTACAAAATTGGGTACATATATGAGGGTGAGTCAATAAGTAAGTTACAAATGGATATAGAACTTAAATAAGAGTACTGATTTGAAAAATCCTTTTATTTCTCAGCATAATCTCCCTGTACATTGAGGCACTTGTCCCACCGTTTCACAAGCCCTTAAAACCAGCAGCATAAAATTCTTTGGGCCGCTCTCGGAACTAGCCGGTGACTTCCCTTTCTACAGCTTCATAATCGGGAAAATGTTCATCTGAAAGATGATGTTTAAGGGGGCCAAACAAATGGAAGTCACTTGGAGCAAGGTCGGGGCTATACGGAGGATGCTCAAGGACTTCCCACTTGAAATTTTGCAGTGTCTCATTTGTCTTGTTGGCAGTATGGGGATGCGCGTTGTCATGCAATAGCAACATGCCTTTGGTGAGGAGTCCTGGTCACTTCTGTTGAATGTTTCCTGAAGATTCCCAAGGATGTTATAGTAGGAGTCAGCATTTATTGTTTGTCCTTGAGGCTGGAATGCAGTGAGCAGTATGCCTTCATGATCCCAGTCACCGCCTGGTTCCGACAGCAGCCCAAAGAATTTTATGCCGCTGGTCTTCAGGTGCTTATGAAATGATGGGACAAGTGCCTCAATATACAGGGAGATTATCTTGAGAAATAGAAGCATTTCTCAAATCAGTACTCAGTTTAAGTTATATATCCATTTGTAACTTACTTATTGACTTACCTATGTAATTTAAGTAACACACCATGTAAATATATCGACCTTCCATACAATAAAATGTTCAGGACAATCTTTCATAACTACTTCAGTGAGAACCTGAAATCCTACTGGTAAATTGAGAGAGCTTCTTTACAAATACACTTGAATTGGAATGCCTGGGGTCCATTGCCAACAATTTCAGTAACATTTTGGGCAAATTTATATAATACTTTAACATGCAACAACTTGGTGTTACCCCAGTTGTTGCACTCAGTCCTTTGTTTATGTTTACATTCATTCCATAGATCATTTAGTGATTCAGTATTGAGGGGGTGGGTTTCCCCATGCACTGCGACTGATAGTCTATTGTACATCCCCCTTTTAATTTCTACCGTCTCCATCCCCTACCGACACTGGTGCTCGCTATCAGTCCCTTTCTGCCAGCGAGGTTTCTACCCTCTACTTGGCAGTGGTATCTAATAGTTAGTCCCTTTCTGTCAGTGAGTTAGTCCCTCCTCTGGCAATGGTACCTAATACTTTAGCCCCTTTCTGCCAGCAAGGTTTCTACCCTCTACTTGGCAGTGGTATGTAATAATTAGTCCCTTTCTGTCAGAGAGGTTGTCCCTCCTCTGGCAGTGGTATCTAATACTTCCCCATCTATCGGAGGCATTGGAAACTATTTGGGCCGGAAACTTTTGGCCTAATTTAGCTCAGAGGCCTCCTAGAGGCATGAGGTTCTTTTACATGCTGTAAATCTACGACACGGGACCCACGGCTTAAAGTCCCTCCCGGAGGACTTGTTCCTGAATTTTTCCGCCCTTAAAAATTCCACGACCTCGGCCGGGTTTGAACCCATGTACCTTGAGTCATGAGGTGGGAACGTTACCCCTAGACTACGGAGGCCGCTCCATAGATCATAATTTTGATAATTAATTTTAATGAGTCCGGTATGAATGTCATGCTCTTGAAAGTCTCGGTTCTTCTAGGTACTTCTTAATTCCCTAACTTGAAGAGTTTATAAATGGGTGAAGTAGCAAATCTGGTGTGTATTGAAAGCCCTGGTTTCAGTCCTTACTCCAAGAGACTGCCTATCCTGATTGAGAATTTTAATGGTTAGTCACAGCAAATGATGAGATTGTACCTTGAAGTAGTCCGTGAGTGGTTCTGTTCAGATCCATGCCAGTTCATCATCCTCCCATGAGACAGTTACACATTTGTAAGTATTTTGTCTGTAATCAGTGACATCACTGCTTGGCTGTTCACACTGGACATGCTCCTCAGCAAGCAGTGTGTCACACATCTGTATTCGCTCCAGGAATGGTGATAATGTAAGGTGCTTGTTATCTGTTTTGCATTTGACAGCCCTACCTGCCAAAGTTTTGCAGGAGAATGAAAGCAACATGAGACTGTGGGTATGTGTTTTACACAAATTTTCTATTACAGTTTAAGTGATTTTAAATTGTAAGCACTCATATTAGAATTAAGGTTGTGCTGAGTTCTTTGTGATTGTATCATTTATCGTTGATGACTAACCCATTTCTGAAATGTGGTCAGCCACTTTGTCCGCACCAGTGTTCTATATCTATGAGACTTTTATGTTTGAAGAGTGTACTCTTCTGGGGGTGAAACAGTGATGAGCCTCAGTCAAACTACATGGGTTTGCATCCCAGAAGACACTACTCTTCTTAGTCATGACAAGGAAAACCTCAACTCCAGAATTTTTAAGTTTTCTCCTGTAATATGCTAGTATTTTATCTTGTCATCAACTGATGGTAATCTTATATATTTCTCTATCTTTCTATAATTAAAGAATCCATTTTATTTATTGATGTACAACAAAGATGATTAAAATAAGAAAGCTGTGCAACAGCAGACACATTGTTATTTAAATGTAGTTGTAAGAGCAGTGGAATACCATTTGAAGAATCTTCATTGTCTTAAGATATAACATCATGTATTCTGTTGAAAGTCAACCGATGTTTGGGGGGCAAGCAGCTTGCTACCTGCTTCATGTTGTTTCTTGCCTTGACTTGACTTACTTAATTCCTTTAGTTCCAAGTGGAACATAGGGCTCCTGTGAAGCTTTTCCATCTTCTCCTCTTGTTTGCTAATGCCTTAACCTCTCTCCAGGTCATTCCCATCTCTGTTATTGCCTCTTCTGTTGTCCTACTTTGCTTATTCTTTGACTCTGAGGAAGGGGGTGGCATTCCTCTGAAATCTCAGTTGACTTATAGTGGACTGCATGGTGCTATATCCCAGAAGATGGAACTGTTTATAATCACTGCGGTGAGAACCTCAGATAGTACATTCATGGGATCAAATGTTTTTCAAAGTCCATTTATTTTAACTGTGAACTCCACCACGTCCAGTTTCTTTGGCTGAAAGGGGGGGGGGGTAATTCTTGGACTGAGTTCAATATGTCCATTCCAACAGAAAAATGTCAGTTATTTTATTTTAATCTTAAAATTCTCTGATCAGAATATGAGTTCCTAGATGCCAGTTTCAGTTGTAGTGGACTACAATTACAGTGTTTAGCAGGAATTTAAAGCATAACTGTTTTATGACTAACTCAGAATAGACATTTGTCAGTTTAAATTAGTAATTAATTAACAGGAACATTGCCAAATGGATACTCTTCTGTAGTATTTCAGTGATATACTCTTGTTCATTATGAGAATTTGCAGTGCCATTTGAATCTTGAGTTTTAGTTTGACATATCAGATATCTAGCCTAATAAACATCGATTACAAAACACATTCTCAGAATTATGAAAATGAGGTAATTTTATTTGCAGAGAACTGCATCAGCCATTAAGATACTGTCTTCAGATTTTTGATACAGCTGAAAGAGTAATGTCTTGTAAAATGGAAGATTTCTAACTTTTATCCTTGTAAGTAACCTGCATGTTTTCTATAGCCATGATTTAATATTTTCTGTTGTCTATGTCTCTCCCATTATCCATTTTCTGTTGTCTATGTCTCTCCCATTATCCAAGGGTAATTGAGAGTTGGGTGGTTTAAGGTGTATTTTGTCTAACATAACTGTTTTAATAGTAGCCCTGACTACTATTTACAGTATTTCTATTTTTCTATTCTTTCTGTTGAAACTCGGGTTCCTATTCAAGTTCTTGTGTTTTTTATTAGAACATTTATGATATGTATTTAGAGTTCTGCATAATTATATGATTGCAGACTGGATCCTTACATTCTTGAATCAAGATGTTTATTTTTTTGGCCCCGCCCTAATTTTAGTATGATATTCAGTACTCTGTGCTGTCATTTATGTGTCTGTAGAGCAGTGGTATATTATTCCATTGTAATGTATCTGTTTGTGTCACATATGTGCAGAAGTGAATTGCTGCCTGATATATTAACAAATGCATGTGCGTATTTAGAAATGTTTCTCATGTTGCTGTGTATGAATAAATGGAAATAAATAGGTCCAGGAATTTGGTCTCTTTTTATGGTTCTCAAGAAACAGTGTTTTTTTTTTTAATTTTTATGTATCTGTCCAACCCCTAATTCATTAACAGATTAATAACTTTGTAGACAAACCTGAAGGGAACAAACCATGTTGAAGGTCTAAACATAGATACAAAGATAATATTAAAGGGATCATAAAGAAGTAGGATATGAGGGTGTGGACTAGATTCATCTGGCTTCGGGTAGGGATCATTGGCAGGCTCTTTGTGAGTATGATAATGAACATATGGGTGTCATAAAATATGAAATTCTATGACTAGCAGAGCAACTATTAGCTTGTGAAGAAGGAATTGGTTCCATTCATTATGCTTGTGAAATAAATATATAACATGTGGTGGGCAGATAGTGACAAAATGGTTACTCCAATTGTCTGCCAGCAGGGAAAATTCTTTAAGGCCAGTTCACACAGTGTCTGTTTCCTATAGTGAAACAAGATACCAGGAAGTCATTAAACTAATAAGTAGCATAAATTTGGTCTGAAAGCTTTAATGTAATTTGTTCAGAGACTAGCAATTAATAGTGGTAAGTAGAAGTGAATTGTGGCATGTACAGATGTGTATCAGAAAAAAGATAAGTTTGGGATCAGACTTAAGAAAGTTTCAAAATTACAATTTTGTAGTGAATTGTTGAGTGTTAGTCTTGTAGTGTTTCATCCTGTTTGTGGTGCTTCCATATAAAAATGGTGAGGTTACAGTCATACAAACAAATGTTTTTATTATTTCACTCACACCGTGTTTCAGCCCAGATGGACCGTCATCAGGTGGTATGTGAGGAATATACAAGGGATGGTGGAATTCTATAAAACTACAACACTAGTGTAATTTTGAAAATTTGTGTGTTAAATTACGTTGGATTTGAATTAATTCCATATGCACCTTAAATTATAAAAATTACAGTAGACATACATATATTAAATTTAAAAAT